TCAAGCTACAAGGACAAATGACAAGCATCAGCTGAATTCAATTGAAAAACAACTTCCGCAATTAGGAGCTCAAGTGCAAGAACAATTGTTGCAACTGCCTCTGCCTTCTGCTTCTCCTCCAGCACAAATTGTACATGAGCAAGTGCAACAAAAGTCGCTGAACTCTACCTCTCTTGCATCACAAGCATTACGTGAACAATTGCAGCAAAAGTCACTGGATTCCACCACTCGTACTTCACAAACGGTACATGAACAATTTGAGGATTCTTCCAATCATGAAACAAACGAACAATCCGAGGAACAAGGCAAGAACATATAAATTTTATTCTGTTAAATTAACAAATAATATTGACTTCTGGTGATTATTCTTACTTAATATTAATGCAGGTCCTTCTGCCGAAAAAAGAAAAAGAGGAAAAACTTTGATGCCAAGTGTTCATGGTAGGAAAGAGCGCAAGCTAATTGTGGTAAACGAGAACAATCAACCCATAGGTCCTACTGATGATGTTGTAGCAGAGTTGGGTAGCTTCCTCGGCACATTGGCAAGGAATGCGGCCTTTTGTCCTCTTATTGTGTTTAATTGGAGGAAACTTCAAACAAAAGAAGATATGTGGAAATATATCAAGGTTTGAAGTTCGCAATATTCTGTGTAGATATTTCATATTTTTACACTAACCTAACTGTACCTAATTTGTAGGGAAAATATGACATTCCTGATGCTTCAAAAAAGTGGGTTTTTGAATCAATTCAAAATGCTTGGAGAAAGTATAAGAATCAATTATTTAACGACCATTATAAACCCTATGAGAATGACGAGCTTCGGATGGAGAAAAGGCCGGTTGATGTTCCTGAATCTCAATTTAGGGATCTTCTTAATTATTGGAACTCTGATGCCTACAAGGTAAAACTAAGTACTGTCCCATGATTTGCTGAGAATGTCTGGTTTATGTTTAATTAAAAATCACTTAACTTTGTATTCATTGGCTGATTTGCAGAAACTGTCCCAAACCAATACCGAGAATCGTAAAAAGTTGAAATATCCACACACTGTTGGCAAAAGAAGTTTTGCTCGAATATGCGAGGTTTGATATTTTCTTTCTTATTATTGTTTTAAATATGAACTTATTAACTTTATACCACTTTTTATATAATCAGGAAAAAAAAGAAAGAAACTTCTGAGCCTCTATCAAGCAAGGGCATCTTTGTGGCCACAAGAAAAAGAAAACCTGATCGAGTTTACAAGGCCTCGTACGCGGATACTCTTAATAAAATTGTACGAGTTATTAATTTAAAGTTTTTTGTTATCATTTGTTTGTTCTTAGTTATTGACTCAGTGTCATATACTTTCTGATTTAACAATGACTCAATTTGGTCTTGTAGGCTGAAATGGAAAGAATACAACCAACACAAGAAAGTGAAGATGACACTCAATCAGTTGATGCATTTGCATCAGTCATGGGACCTGAGCATCCAGGTCGCCTAAGGTTGTATGGGCGTGGGGTTACCAAGACTTCCTTAAAAAGAAAAGTGGAAGATCTGGGACCCTCTACTGATGAGGTAATGCAGCAAAAATTGGAGGAAATGGAAGAAAGGATGCGGCAAAGATTGCAAGAAAAGTTCAATGCAGAAAAAGATGCCATGGAACTACAAGTTGCAGTTAAAATCATTTCACAACTTAAGCATCTGAATCCAGATTTACGGGTTGATCACAGCATGCTAGGTTTCAATGCTCGTTCATCTGGAGAAGCTTCCTCTGCTCAATAAGCTGCAGTGCAACTAATAAATTGCCTATCTACTGGGAGTAATAATCAAGGTCAGTACGTCTATCTTTGTTTGTTTCTTGCTTTCTTCTTCTCCTCCTTCTGCTTCTTTTTTAAAGTTTCACTTAAACTTATTCGGCTTAGCTATAACCTTTGATAAAGAGAATAATTGGCTTATAATATCAACACATGTTGCTTTCTCACATATTTTGCTTCCTCTTTATCTTGGTTTTCTGTACAAAGCCATCTATTGATTGGCAAAAGCAACATCTATTGTGTGGCTGGCTGGTTTTTGTATTTTTGTTTCAATTGCTTACCATTTGCTTTTTTTTTTCTGTTCTTTCTAAATCCTCATAGTAGACTCTCTAGATTGAAGGCTTCTGTCAACTAGCTATAGTTGAGCTTCTGTTAACTCTTCTCTCGTTTTCCCTTTGCTACATTGGTCCCAAGAAAGATTTATAAGGGCATTCTCAATCTGCAGACCGAGCAGCGGGCAAGATAAATAACAAAAGGTTTAATTCTGCTGTTGTGAAATAAAAAGTAATACTCACTCCATAAGTTTGTCGACACATGTATCAACAGTCAAATAGTAATGGGGAATGGTTTGCTTTGACAACAGCAACCGAGAAGCTGTCACCTGCACAGATTACACCAGAACTGATATAACTAGGACAAAACCTTGAGCATGTAAAAGAAGTGGGTAAACAAAAGTATATCTAACACTCAATATGCAGCTTGCCATAGGCATTGAATGATTTCATCTCATCTGTGACCTTCACAAGGTCAACAGCTGGCTGCTCCCTAGTAATATCCTGGCTCACAGTTCTTTATTCCATGCTCATTGCTTCCTTTTCTGCTATTAAAGAAGTATGAACTACATGCATTTTCGTTGAGAAGTGCTGACTGCTTATTCATCTATGTCATTCACATCAGAGNCTCTTCTCTCGTTTTCCCTTTGTTACATTGGTCCCAAGAAAGATTTATAAGGGCATTCTTCAAAAGGATGCAAAATTTGCCTTTTCTGTTAAATCTTGGATGCAAATCTACACTGTAAAAACAGTGCTCTTCATGTTGTTGTTGACATACATCTGGCTTAATATGTGGCATATGATATAGTATATTGTAAAAATCCACTTTTCAATGAAAGAAGTAATTGAAAATGAACTGAAAACTTATCAACATGCTTAAATGCAACCTTCACAAGCTGCAAGCAGTGGTTATCATCTAAAAACAACCACTATTTTCTGTCAATTCCTTGCATATCTGTCAAAAAATTCCAGAAAATACACATGAATGTGATGGTTCAAATTCAAACCGCTAGAGACCATGTTAGGAAAATTGTATAGCTGTTGTCTGAAGATAAATAAATCAAACATCACTTTTTAACTTAAGAAAAAAGCAAATAAAGTGATCCCGCAGTTGGCCTAGGGAAGATCTTCATAGCCTTCTGCTGTCTAGCCGCAGCACGTCTCCTTGTTTTCCTAGCTGGCTGGTTGAACTAAGTCCTTACATAGTTTTGCCTTGATCATCCCAAACAATCCCATTCTGAATTCAGCTTAGCAAAACCAATTCTGGGAAGCTTCCATTTCACTGCTGTAGTGAAGAAATGATGTTTTGCCATATTCATGACATCCTTAGAAGTTATTTTAGGAAATTGCTTATGAGTAACTAAAATGAGGTGTTCATTGATTGCTGGGATAATTCTTGTTTATGATTGGTACAGCAAGAACAAATAGATGGTAGGGGGATCCCAAACCTGCTCATGTTAGTATCCCACTGTAATCTTATGTCTGGATAATCTCCACAAGAAAAAAGGAAAATTTAAAGGGGAATTTCTTGTGCCAAATCATCTTGTTGACTAAAGAGGTATTCTGATAAGTTCTAATGCAATTCCAAACGGATTTACAACTAAATTTTTCTCCTTGTTTTCCTAGCTGGCTGGTTGAGCCAAGTCCTTACATAGTTTTGTCAATGCTTCTTGAAGTGCCCATTGGGTATAACATTGTTGTGCTTCATCTCTTACCTGGTTAGCTACTACTTCTGGAGGCTTTGGGAGTACAAAGTCTTTTGCATTCTTACACGGATTTAAAGACAACCATTTACTTGTTGTCATCTCTGACTTGTTTTTGAAAAACTTTGTGCTGTAAGATTTTTACTGGATATAAGATTGTTTCATCCTAGCAAAAAGAACTGAAGACTTAGAGATCGACATTCTAGTACATTTGAAAACTTTGTGCTTTATGCATTGTTTATGGACCATACCCATTCTTATAATGATAAACCAACTCATGAAGGATAATGACTTTATTTATCCTCTTTTGTAGGTGGAGCAATTGAAGAAAGGGAAGATGGAGATTGTGAAGATCTAGACCTTACTTAAGAACTTTGAATTGTTGTCCATGTTCTAGGAATCTTTTGTTATCAACATTTGAACTAACTCTTGAAGTGTTGATGTAAAACTTATGTGATTGGGTTAAAATATTTTGGTTTTATGGAGTAAGTGTTGATGTAAAACTTATGTGATTGGGTTAAAATATTTTGGTTTTATGGAGATAATATAGATTATGAAGTGTTTTATCTTTTTATTTATATAAATTTCAGGTTATTACAAATTTTATATATCTAAATATTCATTTACAGCCAGGGCGTAATAATCTAATAGAACCGTTCCAATAGGTCTTGCAAACCGTTCCAATAGGTATGGCAAATTGTTCCAAAATAGTCTACAAGAACCGTTCCAATAGGCATTCAAAACCGTTCCACTAGGTCTTACAAATCGTTCCAAAATGTGCAACAAACTGACACAATAGGTAGTTAAAATCATTGCAAAAGAAATAAAACCGTTACAGTAGCGTAATGAAATCGTTAAAATATTTGTAAATAAATGTTGCAATAGCTTACATAACCGTTGCAACATATTATATGGTAACGGCTGCCAACCGTTGCTATAAACTATATGGCAACGGTTTGTAACCGTTACAACTGGAAAGAAATACTCGTTGCTTCAGACAGAGGAACAACCGTTGTGATAGATATACCTTAAGCAACGGTTAGGGTAACCGTTGCAAGAACCGTTACTCTAGATCTACTGGCACGGCAACGTATGTAACGGTTGCTAAACCGTTCCAATAATCTATGGCAACGGTTGACCTCTCTGTTGCAACGGTTTTACAACTGTCGCAATAGGCTCATTGTCTAGTAGTGGACGTTGCAAATATAATCTGAGTATTTAGCCCAGAGTCGAACCCACAAGGAATTAACCTATCAATTACTCTCGTTTGACTTACAAAATTCTATGTAATCAACTTCCCAAACGTTTTAAATAACAATAGAGGATGTTTCTACTAACTAAGACTGACTGCAATTAAGCAAATAAAGACTAACTATGATTAAGTTGTAAACAATTAAGAGAAGGATCTAAGGTTATGATTTCCCCTATTGATGGAATCCCTTCCGATTATGTTTCACATAGATTTGCCTAATCGTTTCTATCAATCATGAGCACTCTTATTACCGTAAATCTCTCCCGAGTAATCACGACAATTTACTAGACGCACTCTCCCGAGTTACGCTAGCTGGCTTTGTTTAGTACATCTCACTTTAGATTGCACCCAAGGCTTTGTTATCCCTAGTCCCGCCTTTAAACCCTCAGTTATTGATCCCTCATATACTTTGGGAGTGGTGTTGTTCAATAATTACCTAAATATTCACTCTCACCCGAGTAATACATACTAAATAGGCACAGCTAATTGAGGATCCTATCAATTAACTACAACAAGAACGTAGTTGAACAAATAGAGATTAAACTGGGCAAACTATATTAACATAACAAGAAGTTCATCCTTCAATAGGTTTCATCATAACCTCAGACTAAATATTTAGCCACTCATACTAGTGTTCATCATACAAAAGCCAAATTCATCACAAATGGTAAAATACAGAAGGAAGAAAGTAAGAACTCGATGATGGATTATCCTCCTTGCCTCTTGCCTCTCCTTGCCTTCAACTAAGCTATGAAAACCTTGATAATGTTCCTTTGGGCGAGCTAGACCTTCTATAGGTTAAGTGGAATTACCCCCGAACTTCCGAGTTTACCCCTAAACTTTATTTTTTGGAACTGGACTAGCGTGGTCGCGCTATTGACCGCGCATATGGCATAAAATTCTGCCTCGAATACCTGGGCTAGCGCTGTCGCGCTAGTGGGCGCGCTAGTCTGGTTCATCATTTCAGCCTTTCTTTCTTTCTTCTTCCAACGTACTCAGCTCAGAAGGGCTTCCCTTGATTCAATTTAGCTCCAACTAAAGTTCTAAGTCCTCATTCACGCAATCCTGCAAAACATGAAATTCACAATTAGAGCCAATTTATCATCATTTAACTATCCTATAACAGTGAAACATAGTCAAGCTGGGGCATAAACAGTCACCAAATTACATAAATCTAGCCTATTATCACCCTTCTTTGTTGATGATGAGGAAGATGGGGACCGGGAGTGGATGAGTCGATTTGTCCGAGTTTGGACTGTTGATATTATCCTTGTGGAGTTTATGCCATTCCATGAGGAATGGAATTATACACGTGAGTGGTACACATTCGTGTCTTCTTAGTTTTGTATATGGCGAAGGCTGGCTTCGTAATTGTGCCTTCTTTTCCTCTTCTGCAGCGATTTCATGGATGCCACGCGAGGTCCCTGATCTACCAAATTGGGCTCGGGAGTTGGCGGCCCACTCGACCCGCGACGAGCGTAAGTGGCGAGCTTTATCTAGGGGTTGATGGGAAGCAAAACATCATGGTATGTGCTGTGCAATTTATTCCCTTCCCTTTTTTCGGTTGGAAAAGCTCTTTCTCTTCCTGCGTACTAACCCTGTTATTGCAGGCATCGGGGAGGCTTCCAAGGCAAAGCCATGCCCCTTTGGAGGGGGAGAAGGGTTGTTGGCTTCTGGGCCAAAGGATGATAACAATAAGCAGGAAGTACCTTCGTGGGGCGATGGTGCTCAAAGCAAGGTG